CTTAGGTTTCTTGCTCTATTTCTACACTCACCCCATAGGAATGCAAGCAAAATAATGAGCTTTTTTTCTGAGATACTCCCTTGATGTTGATAATAGCAATTATATTTGCTTTAATCATATCTCATTAGCTAATGACATTGATTTTTCATGCCAATAAATGTGAAAAATATGCCACAATGGTGATAAAGTGCTTCTGCTAACTGATCAGCATTGCAAGTTCCTGTTAATGAGTTACACATGCCTTTCTGGGCTGCCTGTTCATATTCCTGCATCAAAATGGTAGGGCAGGTATGGTTTGTGATTAAATTCAGGGGTCCATTTCTGGTGCTAGGGCTGTGTTGTACTGGAAATGCTGATGGTTCACTTACATAAATGGGAAACGGCTGGACACAAAAGCACAGAACCGAGCTGCAAAAGAGGATGTTCTCTTTTCCACATGAAGACTTAGGGGTCAGCCCAGGCTTGATCTTGCTGATTGCTGTGCTTTTAAAAGACTGCACTTGATGATTCAGAGGAATGACTTGGATTGCAGCCCAAACCTATGTGCTGTTTGAGGAAGTATGACTGATTTTGTGGTGCAGTTGTTATCTCAAAGGTAACATGGTTTCTGTTTCATAATCACACTACAGTATCTGCCCTAGCTTTCTCAAAAAATACTATCTTCATGTTGTTTTCATCATCACAAATCTCCATTGTTGGTTTCCACTGAAAAATGAGAAAATATAAAACGTACAAAGAAAAGAGAAAGGGAAGGGAGTCAGGGAAATTGTATTGGTACCTGTAAAGCCTGAAAGATATGCAAAGAGAACAGCAGAGATTTCAAAAATTTTGAGATCATAAAAATCTTTTTCTTTCCTGTCAGTTGTATCTGCACCCTAAAAGATTTTTTTTTAATTTTTTTTTTTGTCTAAGAGACAGGTGGTCTGCTTTAGCAGTCATCTGTGAACAGTGGTCTGCTTCTTTCTCTACCTCGACTGTGTAGAACACATCTTTTACCTTTTTTGTGCTTATACCCAGAAGCAGTAGCTATTTTCAGGGAACACTCTTGTTCCCTGTAGGTGTACTACTGCCATGGCTCACCCCACCTGTGCAGAAACACCAGTTTTCTGGGAAGTCTCTAGCAGATTAGGATCTAAGATGATCTCTAAGAAATGTTGAAAGAAATGTTTCATAAAAAGGTAAAAACCTCCCCATTTTCTAGTTGGAACTAGTCTGTGAATGCTTCATGCCTACTGAAAAAGAAATCACCTGGCTTAGTTGTATATTCCAACCAGGCAGATGCACACACTGGCATAAACTTAGACCTTATAAGCCAACAGCAATTGCTCATAAAATGTGCCCTCCATGGCAACAACACAGCACAGTAAGAAAACTGAAGTTCTGTTTTAAATAGTGATCCTTGGGATGACATTTGTTGCAAAACCCTTAGATGCGTTTGTTAAGCACTGTGTTACAGCGGCAACATAGACTGTTAGGGGGAAAAATGGAGGAGGAGGGTTTATAGGTACATAGGAGGTGTAATTCTTATAAAAGGCTAGGATGCAATCATGGGTTGTGTAGGGAAGAGGGGAGTTACCATGAGTGGTGTAAGGTGGGAACTAACTGTATCTTCCAGTACCTAATGGAGAATTACAGTGAAAAGATAGCCAGGTTTTTCTTGGGAGAAAATAGTAAAATAACAAGAGCCAAAAGTCCTAGGTTAAAACAAGAGAAATTCCACTTGAACATTAAGTTCAACTGGAATTTCTCTTGTTTTAACTCTCCCTGTAAGATTATCACAACACTGGAACAGCTGTCCAGAGAGGCTAGGGGGAGTCTTTGTTCTTGGAAACCAAAGAATTTCTGAATGGTTAGTTTTGGAAAGGACCACTGGAGGTCATATACTCTAACCCCCTGCTCAAGCAGGGTCCCTTAGAATCCATTACTCAGAATTAATTTCCAAGTGATTTTTAAATATTTCCAGGAAAGGAGATTCCAGAACCTCTCTAGCCAATCTGTTCCAGTGCTTTATCACAGTAAAGTTCTTCCTCATGAAATCATAGAATAGCTTCAAGTGGAGGGGACCCATAAGGATCATTGAGTCCAACTCTTGGCCCTGCCCAGCACAGCCCCAAGAGTCATATAATTTGCCTGAGAGTGTTGTCCAAACACTTATTGAACTCTGTCAGGCTTGGTGCTGTGACCACTTCCCTGGAGAGGCTGTTCCAGTGCTCAGCCACCCTCTGAGTGAAAAGCCTTTTCCTGATATCCAACCTAAATCTCTCTGACTCAACTTCATGCTGTTTGCTTGTGTCTTGCTGCTGGCTGCAAGGATGCAAAGGTCAGTACTTTCCCCTCTGCTTCTCCCTGTGAGGATGCTAAAGACTACAATGGGGTCTCTATTCAACCTCCTCTAGGCTGAGCAAGCCAAGTGACAGACTCATGTGGAACTTCTTGCTCATCAGTTTCTGCCCTTTGCCTCTTGTCTATTGGTGGGCACCACTGAGAAGAGTCTGGACTCATTCTCTCGGCACTCTCCCTTAAGGTGCTTACAGACATCGAAAAGGTCCCCTCTCAGTCTTCTCTTCTTGAGGCTGAGCAGGCCCAGCTGCCTCAGTCTTTCCTCCTAAGAGAGATGCTCCTGTACCCCAGTCATCCTCATTCCCCTCTGCTGGACCTGCTCCAGGAGCTCCATGTCTCTCTTGTACTGTGAAGACCAGAACTGGACTCCAGATTCACCTCACCAGGACTGAGTGGAGGGGCAAGATCACCTCCTTCAACCTGCTGACAATGTTCTTCCTAAGACACCCCAGTACTATTGACCTTCTTGGCCTCAAGGACACACCTCTGGCTCATGGACAATTTGTCCACCAGAATTTCCAGGTCCTTCTCTGAAGAGCTGCTTTTCAGTAGGTCAGCCCTGTACTTTCTAATCTTCCTAAAGTAGGGACTTAATCTTCATTATATACATAGAATACCATGTATCCTTTATGAACTTACCTTCTAAGTGAATGGAGTTATCTATAATCAAATCTGTATGTGTTAAATTAATTTCTGAATTAATATTAAATTTAAAACAAATCCTGTTAGAAGTGATCTCTGAGAAGGTTATTCAAATTAGCACTGTGGTAAAAACATGTCTTGGGTATTACTGGGTAAATATTACCACCTTGGGTAATATTCTTGTTCCCATTTTCAATAGTTTCAACTCTTATTAGAAGTCTAAAACAGTATTAAAAGGCTGTAAACCCCTAATTGTGCACATAGAGAGGTCCTCAGAACAAGACCTGCAAAACCTAAACCTGAAACTATTGACATCTGGCAAGGGTTAATTGGTGCTGGGAATAAGAAGCTCTTATGAGAATAGGGCTATGCCATGCTGTTCTTTAGAGAACCTTGGGAATAGAGAGTGACCCCCCAACACTAGGGACTACTTCCTTAATCCTATCAAGCACTGCAAGTGTGAATTTCCCACTGTGCCTTTTAGAGGCATGCTCAGCACGGAGCTGTTTTTGAATGGTTCTTTTTGTTTCAAGTGACAGAACAATCCCTGAGAAGCTCTTTAATACTTTCGCCTTAAGATCAGAGTCAAGGCAGAAGCGACCTGCTTTCTCTTTTCTCCAGTGCTGTGTTACTCATCAGGGACAGTCTTCTGTGTAAATACTGTATTTCTGTTTCTTTCTCATGCTCTGTCCTCAGCTCATGATCTTCTTTTCCTTTCTGTGGGAAGGGAATTAAATCTTTTAAACACGTGCTCTGTTTCAGCTTTCAAGCGTCATTTTGTCATTATATTTTAATGTAAAGCTTTGAAAAATCAGTGGCTTGGGTTCAGTCCTGGAGTCCACAAGAAGCCTTCTTATTAATGACTTGAGAAAAAATGAGGCTCAGACTCTGTGGTATTTACCCAGACTTGGATTGCTGAGGAAAACCTTGTAGCTGATTGCACCTGACCTGTAAGGTCTTTGCATACCTGTTTCACTAATGCTGACCTAACAGATGCTGTGTGTGCAGAACTCACCCGTGCTTTCACAACCTTGTTGGTAGGTAACAGCTTTAATGGCCTTGCAAGGTTGCATTTGTTTTTTGATCACTGATTTTAAGGCACTTAGCACTCTGGTAGACACTCTCAGTTCTTTCTGTCATGAAGAAATACATTATTATTTTTTTTTTTTAAATGTGAAGAAAAGCACAAGCTAATTTTCCAGGATGGAATGTGTCTTGAGGTGTGGTGACCACCTCAGAACTGTGCCATTAACAGTATCACTATGAATGTAATCCTGCAACACAGAAGTGAATGGACACTTCAAGTACTAAGGCAAGGTGGCCACTATTGAAGAGAGACCAACACTTCCCTGTCAGCAGTTGAAAGATGAGGCAGAAAGGGCAATTGATGTACAGCAGTTCTTACATACTTCTCAGATTGGTTAATGAGCTGTTCTGATCAAGTGGTGCTTTCCATCAGGCAAAAATGACACATTCTCAGTAAAGACCATTGGAAATATTTTTTTTCTGTTTTCTTTTTTTTTGTCTTTATTTTAAATAAGGTATGAGAGTACCCCCCCCCCCCCCCCGCCCTTCTTTGTTATTTTTTTAATATTAAAGTTTTTAAATATTAATGTTGTGGGTAGAGAAGTGGATGGTTTGAAATGCTTTCAAAGTATAATTTAGGCAAAAATAGTAAGAGTCTTTCCTCTTTCAGTAATAGTCGTCTCAGTGATTAGTGGCAAAGAAGAAGGAGAAAACATTGTTTGAGTAGATTTTTATATAAATGGAGGGCCTGAGACAGACTGTGGTAGATTTCCTCACCTTAAATTCCTAGAATCACAGAAGTGTTAATAGAAAGCGACTTGTAGATGTTTTTTTCCCAGTCCATTACTGAAAGAGTAGCTGAACTCAATCCTTGAAAATGACAGCAATATTTCACAGATAAACTCAATTTTGTAAGGTAAGTTGTACATCTTCAATCCAAAAATATGAAAGAAGCTTTAAAACAACAGTGATGAACCAAATTGCAAACAGTATCGTTTACTGCTGAATTACAGTTTAATTTCACTCTACATAGATACCATTTGATAAAATCCCCAGATCATATTCTTTAGACCATAAGAAAATGGAGGCACTGTACAGTTTCTGTGGAGGGAAAATCAATAGAAATCGGTTTCTAAAAAGCGAGAAGTTGACAAATACTGGCAAAATACATCTTCAAGTATGCTTTATTTGCAGGTGATTAAAAATATTTTTAGGCAAAAAACTAGTCAATCTTATCCAGTACAAGATAGAACATGATTTAGTGCCTAATGCCAGACAGACTGGAAAATGTGTCGATAGGACTGGTGATGCAGTTGTTGATGAATTACATGTGGTTAAATGGCTCACATTCATATAGTAAAAAGACCTGATACATATATATGAGGAATTATAAGCACTTAATATTTTAACAATTAGCAGGAGATTTTGTACGAAAAACAAGGGACTCAAGGGGACCGGAAAGCTACAGACATCTTGGTAATATCAGAAGCCATCGACATTTTTTTTTTTTTAAGACATTGACTTGCTCCTGCAAATTACTGCACTCTTGAGAATAATATTTGCAATTTAAAACTTATCTAAAACATCACCAAAAGGTAACACTAGTTCCTATTTTTTAAAAATTATTTTGTATTAAGAATTTTGCAAAGAACTGAAATATGGCATGGCAAGAAGCATGAATTATCCACCATTTCAGAGACTTTGCATTCATCACATTTAAATACTAGGTGTCTGATTTCTGAAAGTCTCATGCAAAATCCAGCTATAAAAACTCACCACAGAATATTTTCAAGGATAAAAAGCTAATGTTTTTTAAAGCTCTGACAGACATCCAGTTGTGAAGGTGAATTTCAAAACTAATGGTCCACATTTTCAGAGGACATTCAAAAATATAGTTGTTGAACTTCCTGTAAATGCCCAGCTCTTATCTACACTTTGCATGGAATATTTACCAAAGCTATAACATTGGACAGTTAATGGAATATATCACTGCCTAGAGTAGCGCCAGAGGTAACATCATTATCTTTCCATAACTGCGTAATGAGAATTAAAGAATCACAAAACAAATTCCTATTATGAAGTGACTTTTTTTTCCGCATGTACAATATATATATTCATTTATATTGAATATAAGTCCAGTAATACTATCACAGTAATGTGCTGTAGTAGTCTTTCATAGTGAGAAAACTGCCCTAATCATCTTTAACATGCAAAGCTTGGAAGAACCAGAAATTCACAGTAAGTAATACAATTTGTATAAGCATCTTCTGCCACCCTAAAGTTAACCAGAACACTCAAGACTGTTGCTTATTTTTTTCCTATGTTTAACAAAAGCTACAGTTCTGTATACTGTACATTCACAGTGGGATCCCAGCCCCCTGTACTATCTGCAAGAAAGATCAGGTTACCACCCTCCATCAGAGTAAACATTCTAGTATTTAATATAATAATCTTGTGAACAGTTGTTCCTAGCTTGAAGCTCAGCAGTTCAAGACTTGATAAAATTCACCTTTTCATCTCTCTGAGAGGTCTCTTGCTAACGCATTTTGTAGTCATTAGATACTGACATTTCACATAGCTGTCCTTTAAAATCCAAGTCTACTGTGAAATCCAGGTCACGCTGTAAAAAGATTTAAATGCAACATGTAAGTAAGACCATAAGTTTAGTGTATTAATTCAGTTATCATTGCTTGGGTTGAAAAGACCAGCAGATCCAAGAGATTCCTGTGGTGGTTTCTAACTTCTGGTTTTAAATGGTGCTAACACTGAGAAAGCAGGCTGTAATATGTTTAATAGTATTCAGCATACAATCTGTGCTTAGGTCATATCTCTGTACTCTTCCAGAGGTGGATTTAATGTTCTAGTTATTTCCTGGTTCAGAAAGCTTCTGAAATGCTGTTATCATATGTATCCTATGAACATTTTTGTAGGGTATCCCCCATTGAGATGCTCTTAATTTAGGCTAAAGGGCTTTCCCACTAGGGGTTGTTCCAGAATAGATCTAGTAAACTTCCCATAATGACACATTTTTAGGGAAGAGGCACTACATAGCCCTACAGAAGTAAGCTGTGTCTATGCAAGCTTTAGAAAATCTTCATGCTTCAGAAGAACAAAGCACTAGCAAATCCTTTTGAACTGAGGTGGTCTCTCTGTCTTACAACAACTATCAAGAGCACATTTATTTTAGCACCCAAATCTGCATTCAGGTGCTTACTGCTGTGCAAACAAATTTGAGATATTTTATTCATTTTTCCCCCTCAATGAAAATTAATACATTTAAACCAAAATAAAATATTCCAGTCCCCCTAGGACGACATAATGGTGGGGAAACAGATTATTTTCCTTTTGCAGCAAGTAGCCTCAGGGGTGAATGTGTTTGTTTTAATGCCAAGTTTATTTTGTGTTTATTTCTCCCTCTGTATCAACACCACAATATCCAATCTGTGTTTGGTATAAAAATGGAAAAGCAATGAAAAAAGGGAAGACAATGAAATGTTAAGATTCGTTGCAGTTAACAAATGCAATTTTTCAACAATTACAACAACTGCATAGATGGATAACAGGTTATTTTAACTGCTGTTTACTGTAATAGAAAATGAATAGATTCTGCTCAAGATGTTTGGCAGAAAATGGTCCAGTGTTTCTCCCAGAAGGTATAATTCTCATGTCTTGTTCTACCCAGCCATAGGTTATCTATCAGACCATGTCTCACAGTCTCCTTACCAGTTAAAAGAAGCACTAAGGGGATTCATTCCATAGCAGAGGAACTGAAAACGTTTTCAGCAGTCATGGTAGTGTCATATCCATCATGCTTTGGTCGTAAATAAAGCTAAATCTGTATTTTCTATGGAAAAGCACAATTTTTAAACAGCCCTTTCACTCAGTGAGTTCATACCAGCATTCCTCTGAAATGTGTTACTTAATTTCCTGTTGGACTGTTCTTGGGCACTGCATGGCAAATCACTCAGTGCCCATAGATGTGGAACTGAAGTGCTTATTCTTGTTCACCCTGTGCTGGCAGAAGGGATCTTTCCACTGATTTCAGTGACACTGTGAAAAATCTCTTGCCTGCATGTGTCACAAAATGTGAGTATAGCTGATTGCAGAGGGCAGCTGAGTGATGTATTTGCATCCTTTTTCTTTTCCCATGCTAGCCTGCTTGCTGGATGACTTCTGTAACATTAGCACTGCTTTACCATTGCCCCATCAGCTTTGGTGAGGCTGTGACTGGAGCTTTTACTAATAAACATGAATGTCTTTAGCACGCTCATTGTTTTACTCCTGTGTATTTTCTTTATTGGTGATCATGGTTTGTGATCAGTAGAGATGGAATTAGGATCAGGGATGCTGACTTACCACATTTTTTGCATTTGGTTTCATGGATATAGTCCCATAGATTTCTTCTCCTCGTCTCACAGTTAAATAGTCCTCCAAGTAGAAGACAGTTTGCTTCCAGTGAGTATAAGGAGCATCAGGTGCTAAAAATACAAATATGGGTGTCACTTATTGAAATTTCTTAAATGCCTTGCAAATCAAATTATGATTTGAAAACAATTGGGAAAAATCCTTTCTTTTAATAGAATGCTTTATGTCCTATATTAGCAAACATACTTTACAACACAATTCTATTGCCTGTCTGTGAGTTGTCTTCTAATTCTTACTGGAATATGTCAGATATGAATCACACCCAGCGAGAAAGATTCCACAAAAGGGCTTACAAGGCGAGATAGGCACATTTTTCTGCTTTTCTTTCAACCCACGCATGTTCAAATTGGGAAAACCTTTACCACTAAGTGCTTTGAATTTCAGAAATCTAGATTAGTTCAAAAAATTATGTTGCAAAAGCATGAAGGAAAGGTACATCAAAAATTATTAATCACAATGTTGCAGATGAAACATTTGACTAGTGATCCCAAACCAGCAAATTTTATAGTTTCCAGGAGGAAAGAATGGATTAAAGGACACTAGCACCTTGATCTTTTTTGGGACTATTAAAAGGCATTTTGGGCAATTTTCCAGAGATGGAAACTGGTCTAAATTGATTTCTAGTCTTGCTTAGCAGAATCACTTTGATTACCTTTTGCTATTTTAGGCTTTTAATTTACTTATTTGGTTCTATTTCTGATTTAAATTCCAATCTTTGAGCAGTGCCTAATGAACTTGTATTGGTCACTTCTTGTTCCTACCATTCTTGCAGTCAAGAGCATCTAGGACCTAAGAATAGCTGTAGGAGCTCAAAGACTTCCTAACCTGGCAAAAAAAAGCCTCTGATAAATTATTTTTTATTTTATTTGTATCCCCCAGTCACATGAGGTCACTGTACGGTATCATTATTAACACTTTAATAAAATAATGATTTTATTTCATTTCAACATCAGTGTTCCAAAAAAATTATTTGGCTTTGAAAATTGTTTGTGACTGGGGAAATACTGATGCTTTTTAAAAAAACCAAACTGGCAGGACAGGAATTTTTAACTCTTCTAAAATTCTAGAATCAGAAGACTGATACAAACCAACTTTTTTTCAGAAACTGTGCTGGCAAACTGGTATTATCAAATGGAAAATGAGCTTACCAGATAATTTCTGTCTATGTGTCCAGACAGTTTAATGACTGTTGTCCCAATTGTTAAATGAGATACATTCTTGTAGGAGTTCTGATCCAGACTGTTTACTATTTGGACATAGCTGCATAACATTTCTAACTGAAAACATGTTCGACCAAGATGAAATTGAATTTATATTCTAAATCAAAACTGCTGCCTTGTACACACCCACACACTTGTGCACATGTCCCCATGCAGGGCCATGTTCCCTAGAAAAGCCTGGCATAACTGGAAACTTGTGCCCCAACAGCAGGGGGTGTGTGTAATGCAGGCCCAGGTCTCCATGCCCACCCCAAATTACACATTTATTCATAATTTATAAAAATACAACTCAATGAAGCAGCATTTTGACATGTCCTACAAATGGGTGTATTTTACTGAATTCAGTGCAGCTTTGCCAACAGACACCAGGTGAGAATCTTTACCAATCTTCTAGCCAGTGGTAACCTTCAGCAGCAGATGGCCAGACAACTTTTTTATGGAGTTATTCTTCTGCACCTACCTTATCATGATAAACTGAACAGAGGCAGAGAAACACTTCACCCTTCTGTCTACACAAAGGCTGTCTACAGGATGAGGTTTTTTGCATTTATTGCAAGACTCTCTGGTTTATTCAGTCCGGTAAACAATGCCTTAAGGGAATGGAGTTATTCCTTTAAATATCTGCTCAACAAATCAAGTTAGAATTTCACATCTGGTTTGATAGAGACAACTCATATAATCACTATGTGTGCTTTTATAACTTGGGAAAAATGGTTGTTTTGTTCTAGACTCTGAGGCAAGCTTTGTTGGGTTTTGAATTTAGGGAAAACTAGAACGCAGAGCTGCTGTTTCTTTCTGAGCTGATAATTCTCTGCCTAATCTGAGAAACTTGAAAAAAGGATTTAGATATAACTGGTGAGGAACATAAGTTCACAGGTCATAATTCCTGCTGAGCTCTAAGATTGATAGCCATTATGAAATCCTGCCCCTGTTTCCACAGAATTCCTACAAGCAGTTGTCCCTTCCCCATCCTGATCATCTCCCCTAAAGTGACAATAGTTTTTTTCACTGTAATTCAAATATGGTGGTACATTAAACCTTCTTGTACGATCTAATCAGCAGCACTGATAGACTGATAGCAACAGAAATGAAATGACAAGAAATACAGATTACCTGTAGAAAATCCCATCTTCTTGTGGCACTTCGTAAATTCAATATTAAAATAGGTGACCAAGGCATGAATGTAATCATTGCGTTGAATTTGGAGGCAGAATGCAGAAGTAAATTCCAATTCTTCTGTCTTCACTGTATAAATATCTACTTCCTGTTTTGAGGAGAAAGAAATGACATTTACATGCAGAAATATTCTGTGACTGTCAGATTAGTGTTAAATTAAGTACTTTAGTATTTCATTTAATGATCAGACACAAAGATGACTGGCAGCTTTTAAACACTGTTAGAAATCAGAGGCATATTCTAATAAATCATGAGTAAATGATGCAGTTCTCTGACTAAGCTGACAGAGAGGACACTCACTGAAGAGTGTGTGTTTGTGGGACTGGCAGGGAGAGGCTGTGGGAGCTGGGGAAAATCAGCGTAAAAAGGTGCTCTGATAAATACAGGTAGATGTTGAAATGGAGATACAGGTCCAGTTCAAAGACCTTTTATCATCAGGAGCTGTCAGCATGAGGAAAGATGTCAGAGTTGTTTTTTTAATAAAAATAAACTTATTTGGTTTTGCATCTCTGGAAAAGGAAGTGATTTGACTGTGTCAAGCACTCAAAACATTTGAGGAGTGCCTGCTTTTTGATGGTGAAGTTTTCTAGTCCTGTGTCAGGACTGATTCCAAGCAGTGAACACAGGGACCTTGCTCTTGAACAGAAACAAATTATGTCAACTGTACTATGGCTTGATTGCAGTAGTTGGAAAGCACAATGTAGTCTTCAGGATTGCTTACTTCCATTAATATTTAAATCTCACAGTTCAAGGCTTAAACTGTGTTTTTCAGATAGATCTGATTTTCCCAGCTAGGTACTGCTTTTATCTAGGTTGTTTCTAAAAGTTGTAGTGATGATAGGGAGGATGGTAAGTCTGAAGTACTATTCTAATGCTGTGGGAAATGTTTCCTATGCACTTTCTGGTACCTTCATTGCTCATTCTCATTGCTCTGGTACTCTTATTGCTCATGCATACAGGGAAACAGAATTTTTGTAAGCAGAAATCCAGATTTTCTTTACCAGCTGAAGTCAGGAATTATGTCTCTGACCTCACTAGCGTTTCTTAAGACTTGCACTGCAAAATGGAGAGCAGAGTCTAGAGCACCCATTAGAGGGTTCTTTTAGCCTCTTTTAGGGCACTTTAGAGGGCTCTTGTAGAAATTGCCTTCTGTAATCTAAGGTAAGACTGCAAAAAGAGACATAGAAAAATGCAGCCATATTTCAGTTACTGAGGTCTATGCATGGACCACATATGTGTTTCTGAGACTTAGAAAACTTACAGGGATATGATTTATGCAAGCCATAGCTTTGGCCTGTCTGGTTACCATTATTGTTCAAGAACAACTTAACCATAATGAAAATTACTCTACTGCATTGCAATGACACCCTGAGGCACTAGTGTTTGTCCTATGTGACATATGCATATAACTGGTCACTTAAAGCTGTGATAACCTCAAAATGTTTTTTGTTTTTTCCCCCCTCAAAAGATGGTAAGAAAAAAGCATGGCAGGAATGAGAGCTTCTGAGGTCTCCTGGTAGAGTTCCATAGCAGCCTGCAAAATTTGCTTTGCTAAGCTAAACTGGACTGGTGGGTGATAGCTGCAGACTTCTGTAATTTTTGGTATTTTTCTAGTGATCTCACTGTGGGGAAATTGGGAATTAAGTCAAGTGATGAGGGACATAAAAGGGAGCTAGCTCCCTCTCTCTGAGCTGTGTTGGTTGTGCAGGGTAAAGTGGAATCAAAAGCACTAAGAAATATTTTCATTAGAGAAGTCAGTAGAAATTTCTCAGAAATATTAAACAGATATCCTGAATAAACTGTTGATCACTTTCGCAGTCCTTTTTTTAAGGACAGAAACATAGCTTTTATACAATGCATGGTAGGAGACAAAAGTGGGGTGATTTTTATTCATTAATACAATTCTGAGAATGGCCAAGTCTGGTTTTGGTGATCGCTTTGCATTGTACTCTGGCAACTACTTATTCTTATATAAAAAGGCAACACTCATTACAGCTACCTGCACAGGAGACAAATGATAGAAATTGGAGTTAAAATTGCTTCTAGAGTGCCACGGCACCTCTTTCCTGATCTCCTTCCCAGTCAAGTTACTCAGCTAGGATTTTGTGAGCATGACAATAAACTAAACATGCAAATCTCAGTGGATGTCCAGGTTTGGTGGAGTTCTTTCATTTGTTTGTTCGTTTGTTTGTTTTTGGATCAGAGAAGAAAACAACTGTTTTACGAAGTATGAAACAAACTTTTCCATAATTTTTGGCAATGCTACTGAAAGCAGTAGGCCCCCAGTTGGACACCTGTACACTTATTCCTGAGTTCACTTATTGATTCTGGTGGTTTTAAGATGCTTTGTTCTCACTACTCTTCCTGGCCGATTTGCTGTGGGAGTTATACAAAGGACTCCTATTTGACAGGACAATTCCTGTGCCCTCAGATGTGTTTAAATCATGCAAAAGAGAATGGCTCTCACAGCAGAGAGGATGCCACATTCCCTTCATGCACCACCCCTAGTGCACCTATGGTCCAGTGCCTAAAGTTCCTTAAAGCATTCAGGACTTGGGTTACATCCAGTTTCTGAGGAGTAAAAAAGAGGAGATTTTACTCAAGTCTCCAGCACATCAGATAAGTGCCATGGCTACACAGCATGCACAGTTGGTGTCTTATTTTGCTGATTTTGTAGAAACATTCAGAGCATCTAAATTGGAAGTTGAAACAACTGCAGAAGCACAAGACTCTGACTGGTCTCTGAGGAATGTATCTAGTGGTCCATCCACTGACTAATGTAGAGAGAACCTAGACTCATCTGGTAGGCACCCTAAATTAGTTGGCTTTGGGTTGAATACAATCCTAAAAATCCCTCCATGAATCTAATATGAACAAGCTGTGCTATCCAGAAGTGCTGTAATAAAACATTTGAATAATTAAACATTATGGCTTTGTTTATTCTCAAATGTTTTCTTAGGCTAATATTATTCTCTGAATTCACTAATATTTTCAGGAGGAAAGAAATGCATTTCATATAAATAAACCATGTGCAAAAGTAAATTAAATTTAAAAATATATAACTACAGAGTGTTTTTCCTGCTTCCATATTGCTATCTTGAACATAAATCTCCCTCCTTCATGCTTTTCATTGACAATTTTCTCTTTTCTTGGTGATCACTTTGTGAGATTAGTAACTGATTCTGGAATGGAGGGTGGTTTGTGCTTTGTGCTTATTACCTGCTTTGCTCTCATGATGCCTCTACATGGTACAGCACCATTCAGTTTACGGACAAAAAATGTCAAAACTAAATATAAAACCTAAATAGAAACACTTTGAAAATTGTTGTCTGTCATCTCAAACCAAATTACTTTCAAAGACCTTCTAAATAAAGCATTGGATTTGCACTTCAATTAAGGGCGTGCAGCTTTTTATTCCAGAGCAGCCAACCCATTTTGCTCCCTGATCTCTTTCTCTCTGGACATATTTCATAGAGGCTAAATAGCTGTTTCTTTTGTGTGTGCTGCAATTTTAAATTGCCCTGGTTGAGGCTGTTTTCAGGCACAGCCATGTGCTCCCCTCAGTGCAGATGGACTGTGCATGCATACGTACTCATGCAGAGTTTCTGCTTCTGTTCCTTTTTGCTGCTTTCAGTAAAGGTTTTGCAGACTGGAGGCATGGCTTTCCCTTTTACACATGGGAATATTTAATGCTGTGTTTTTCACTGGCAAAAAGTGAAAAGGAAAAGTTAGAACTGATTCTTTGGGATAAGTGAGCTCTTGGATTCATGGACCTGGTAGTATCATTACTATTGATGCAGACAGCCTTGTCCAGGACAGTTGTCCCACACAAGGAGGATTCCTTCATGTGAAGGGAACTTTAGAGCTTTCAAGTGTTCCTGCAGGCAGTTCCTTCATTGTTAACATGGTCTTGTGAACAGGTTTAGTGACCTTTCTCATGTAGAGCAGGGTACCAGTTAACCTCTGAGTGCAGATGTTGGGGCTGAGAGAGAACATTAACATTCTATATGAAGCTAAGAATTAGGAAGTCAGAGAATTAAATTGAGTTTGAATTCTGATCACATTTTCTGGAGTTAATTATTTCATCATCAGTTCAGAACTGATGCTTCAGACTTTATTACTGCAAACAAAATCATTTACCCCTTCTCCTCAGCAGCACTCAATCAGTAATTTCCAACCTCTACTGGAAAAAAGGCGGGGCAATTCAAATTCATATCTAAGTATACCGTGTCTCTCTTCATCCACTATTTGCACATGTAAAATTTGTAAGAATCTTGAGTTACAGCCTGCAGATGTAACCAGATGAGTAGACACAGAAAGAGCATCTTGCTTTTGGGAATTCCATGAGAAATCAAGGTATCAGTGTCCATGCTCAGGTCACGTGGCAGTATTGAGCATGTGAAACATCCAAGAACTGGCTAATTTAAAATTGCACAATTTTCTTAGTGTGACAGCATTCTGCAATGATGGCTTCTGTAGCTGCTCCAAAGCATGCAAAGACAGTAGCAAAACATAAGCAGCAGGTACCAAAAGAACCCTGCAGTTGGGTGTAAACAGTCACAATGAGGTATATTCAGAATTACCAGACCTTTATTAAGCAGGCGTTGGTCACCACTTGCTTTGGATCTACTATGTCCACCAAGGGCTCCTTCATGGCAACATCCCTAATACAGGTCATGTCAAAGCCGTACACATTCTCCCACCCTGTCAGTGCAAATGGATTTGTCAACAATAATATAAAATATTTTTTGCTTCTCAAAGCATTTTTCTTTTGAAAGAATTTCTACCATCCCCTAATTTTCAGATGTCCCCTTCAGCTCTTTGCTCCCTGCCCTAGCTGTCTGTGTCCTCATTTTTATTTTACAGATCATGCAGTTCTGGCAAAATAAGCCCTCATTGTACATCTTTAAACAAGCAGCCCTCACTTTTTGGCATTTCCAAAACTGATTTATATGAGATTTGTCAACGATTTTTGTGGCTTTAGACTCTTGTGATTGTTGCCCAAAATCATCTGATGTCAGGCTGAGTGTTGGGGTTTTTATTTTTTTTTTTTCTCATAGGTTGCCAATCAATTGGCAGTTTACATGGTCTTTTGATTATTTAAGCAGTTTTAGTTCCAGCAAGTAAATTACTGGCAGGAGTAAAATTGCAGGTGTGTTTCAATAGCTGGAACTCCAAGTTTAAATCTGCAGGTACATCATGACAGAAAAGCAAAAAAAGTAATTTAAAAGCCATGCCAATCCTCTGTATTTGAACTGTTCTGATTGTTCAAACAGATGCTTCTTATCATGTTGAGGATTTTTTGCACAAAATGAAAACATTGAAAAATGGAGAAGTACACTGGCTTTGCTTTTAAGGTTGCTTAACAAGAACCTTCAAATAAGTGAAATCTTAGCATATAAATCAAGGTCCATTCAGTGCTTGATCTCAAAATCTAAACTGAATACTGGGAGTGTTTTATAAATGGCTTGAACAAAAAACAAAGTAAACAGATAAACACATTTGTGAGCATGTTTGAAATGTCTCATTTTTTTTCAGAGCACAGCATTTGAGCTACTGGAGTTTCCAGAGGAGAATGACTGAAAATGTTAAGTGATATAAAAATCTGCATATTCCTGAATTGGAAAAAACATGGACATAAATGATTCTTTGATATCTCTTTATTATCTCTTCAATGGGTTGTGAGTTTTTCAACATTTCAGGGAGCTGAAACTTTTGTTTCAGGCATCATGAGCATGTGAGAACCTCAGATTACATTTTAAAAAGTCGTATATTTTTATGTGATAAATCAGAAAATATTAACTAGGAAGCCTGAAGAAACAACTTATTAATTTTTTATTTATTTCTGGGGCCTCCATAATTTACTGCACCTCAGCCTACATGGGATACCTTAGAAATATGTGGCCTAATTTTTCTTAGGCAGAGAGCTGTCATGGGAGGGAAAAAATAAAATTCCATGTTTTACATTTTGCAGTAAATCAGAGTAATTGACTGTAATAGTACTCTGTGGCATTAATCTTCAGTTAGAAAAATCAGAAGTTAGATTTTTTTTTTTAGAAACCTCATATTGCATTATTTCTTTATCAATATAATGGTTCTTGAACGCCCTTTAAAATGCTCAATCTCACATTTCATATGAAGGAAAGACTCCTTAAGAGAGAAAAAGATGAAAAATAGAAATGTAAGGAGCAATGTAGGATTTATAAATGGAAAGAAGAGACAAGGTGGTGGTGCAGATAGATAGTGGGATGGAAATAACTGAGGACACAGAGGTATATAAGGTATATAAGGTAAGGGGGGAAGGGAAATCAGAGGTGAAATCAGAAAATAAAGTGTCTTAAAGGAAAACAACAATTTAGAAGAGGAAAAAATATCTTTGTACATTTTTTTTCAAATGGCTCAAAATGAAACAATTTGAAAACAGATGTATTGTCTGTGAGAAAAGAAAAAGACTCGAGGTCTAGAAAGAAAGGAGTTCAACAGCAAAATTAAAGATTTCAGGCCAAAATGGCTCTGGTTCCTTTACAGAATGGATAACTCATACATCCTTTTGAATCTGTACATTTTGTAAGGAGTTTAACTGTCAAGGTCATCACATAGCTGAGGAGAAAAATGTAGGCTGTGCTTGAGGAGGAGTTATAATCCTTCCTGACACCTACAGAGACTTCCTGTCACTGCCCCACTGCACTGGGCTCACTTTTGACCCAAAATAGCAATTTTGACCAGCTGACAGTTCTGTGTATTAGCACTGAATTTGATTACAAAAACACCAAGCCTTCTTTTCTGGGAGGAGGTGAGAGTCAAGGAATGAGGAGTTAGGCATTTTTATTTGAAGGTTGTCTGAACCCACTAATTTAACCCAAATTTTCACATGTATTTTTGGTTGATAAATCTGCTTAGGAATTTTGTGGTTCTTTTTTTTTTTTTTCCATAATGGATAATACCTTTAAGTGAAACTGACCAGCTCTGAAAAATAAATAAAATCAAAAAATGTTGAAAGGAAAAGAAGAATGAAATAATGTAAAACTTGTTCATTTGATCACAGTAGGAGCCTGGACTAGGTCACTTGTAGATGTCACTAACAGCACCAGTTATTCAAATGATACTTCAAGGAAACTCTCCCAACATTTTAAAAGCAAAGGAAAAGTCAATTTTATGCATCTATGAAGTATTTAGAAAACCCAAATTAGAACCCTTTTTAAACATATAAGTAAAATTTAAATTTCTGATCCTTATTTTTAATTTAAAAATTCTTGCATAAAATGTTTTTTAAAAAGCTACACATGTTGTGGATTTTTTTCTTTTTGGCAGGCCATCATGGAGATATAATTTTTTTCTAGGTTTATATCTTAACATGTACAATTAATTTGCATCTTACTGCTTTTATGTTTTTGTATGTTAAAAACAAAAATAAGGACCTGAATGGCAAAATAATATTACTGGGCTTTGTGGCTGTTATGATGGATTATATATTTATCAAAACAACAACAAAACTAAATCTCCTTTAATCCACATTTTAAATATAGCTAGAGGTATTAATATAACTCTAGGCAAAATCTTCATCAGTTTATACATGCATCTCTCCTTTGCGCACTTTAAATCACTGCAAATTTCCTGAATTTATCAGCAGACCAACATTTTCTCAGAGTTCACATTCATATTGGAATTCTGGCCTGCAAAGAGATCACAGTAGGCTACTGGAAATGGAAGTTTTTAGGGAAATAACCACAGAAAAGTGTTACTGGCAGGTGCTTACTCACAGTGAATTTTGAAGTCCTTGTACTGTCTGTCTTCAATTGCTACCACGTACAAAGCAGCTCGGTCTGGAAACATTAGCCCTCCAGGTTTCTGTTGATGAATTGTGGGGAAATGGATCTCGTAATCTATTCACCTGACAAAGACATCACATTTTGAACTGCACATACAAAAACCAGACAAGCACCCCTTGCATGCCTTTATTGTTTTCCTTCAGATTTGCACACCAGGTTTAATCTCGCAGCCTGTGGCAATGTCATTAGACAGTGTCTAGGCAAACTTGGCCAGCCAGCACTTAATCAAAAGCAAAGCTCTTTCACTGAGGTTCCCTTTGTTATCTCCTCATTAAGGCCTAAGAAATGGCACTTGGAGATGTGGCCGTGTCTCGTTTTGGTGGCAGTAGGGAAGGGAAAGCTTGTACTCAGCAAATAAATGGTGACTGCTCCAGCAAGGAGCACGGCATGCAGAGCACCTACCAGCCACTTGTCTCGTGCGAAGATGACTGTGTTTAACATTGACTCATAGAACAGACAGTAACCCATCCACTCGCTGATGATGATGTCTACTTGATCCACAGGTAATTCAACTTCTTCCACTTTACCTTTAAATATTGTGATTACTGAAAAGAGAATCCAAAGAAATACGTTTCACATAATAAAACACCTGACTAAGATGCTTACTGGTGAATGTCAGGCTGACCTTTCCAATATGATTATCTTCTTGAATGCCTGTGCGTAAAGCTTGACTCCATGTGATTTTCAATGCATTTCACACTTTTTAAAAACTATTCAGAATACACATAATAAATAGAACTTTTAGTATCAGTATAAAAAGAAAAAATACCAACCCAAAATCCAAAGGCCAAACAAACAAAACCCACCATGTCTAAACACAACAGAAAAACAGGCCTTACCTGGTTACCTGTATGACCTTATTTTAAAATACCCTTTGGAATTTGGCAGATTTCTAGATCATTGACCAAGTATAGCAAAGAATACACTTAGAAGCATTTAAACATCTCTGCAATTTTACACACTAATATTTGAATGTTAGGCCATATTTAGTTCAGTTGTAACAAATAGTTTTGTTTTAGGACCACTACACAAGTCACCAATCATTCCTGCTTTATAAAAAAAAAAATCCTATTTACAAATGTATTTTCAGCTTGTGCTAAATAATTTTCAGTGTGTGTTTCTCTCATGTTTATATTGTTTGTTGCAGTGGATAAAGTCTCATGGTTCTGGATTCTTCCTTGAAAAGGTAGATGCACTTGAAATTTAAGATAATAAGATAAATATTCTACTTTCCATTACTAATTGATAAGATTATTCCACTACTCTTAATTAATGGTAATTTTTAATTATAACAGTTTTTATTGATTAAATGGTCAATATTCAGTTTCAGAAAAATGAAAGTAATTTAACTTCATTTAATATAACTTATCTAGAACTAGGTTAGCTGACTGAGTGTGGAACTGTGGGTTGAGTGATTTTTAGAACTCAGCCCAGGGAAAAAGAGGTTTTGTCTTTCCCAAACACATGCAGTACTAGTATTACTGTAACCAGATGTGGCCATTTTATTTGCATAGCAAATTTTTAATCCAGACTGTCCCCCTAAGAAATTGGGAACTCTCTGACTCAGACTGGTACCACAAAGTATGAGCTGATAAGAGCAACCTGACTGGAAAAGAGCAGAGTTCTTTTTGCCATTATTTAAACTAATTTCTTTTATAATAAATTCAACAGTTCATCTCTTGTTATACTGAAGACTCTTCATGTCTATAAGCTCCAACCATGAATTCTCTTTGGTTCTCTTTTCTCCCAAGAACTTTCACTGCCCAAATATTTTTGAAATGAATTTTAGCAGTGTTGACAGCTGCCAGAGTGACACACGTGGCTTTGAAGCCCCCTGTTTATCCCTAGAACAGTCACAGTGTGAGCAGCAGCAGCAGCACCAGTTCCTCCTACCTTCCTTCACTTCATAAGGCATCATGTGGGGACAGATCGTGCTGTCCCCGATGTATTGCATGTGTCTGTTCTGGAAGCAGTGGGTTTTCCCTTGCTTCAGCCCCTTTTGCTGACTCTGCATTGCTCAAAACACTTGGGGGTGGAGTGGGTGGGAGAGGAAAATTTCCATGAGCAACAAGATCCTTTGGCTCAGTACCTGGCTGCACTAAAATAGAAGTGAATGTGGGTCAGTGTGGAGTGTGAAAGTGTAAATGTTGGTTCAGGTGTGCAGTTTGCAGACCAAACTTGCAGCCAGGCAGACTGCTGAACCTCGCCTGCCACGTCTCCTCCCAAAGGGACGGGGCTCTGCTTCTGCCTCCACACTTTCCCACTGACTTTCTCCTTGCTGAAACAGGAGGAAAAAGCAGAGATAAAAGCCTTCTGCACCTTCTGGAGAACACTGGAACCTTCTAATTTATTCTGACAATGGTCCCTTCACACACAGTTCCTGCTGCTGGAAATCCAAACACGAATTGATTTGCGGCGCGCTATTTGCGTCTCTCGCGAATGAAAGCCGTTCTGGGAACACACAGCCTCTGCATCCAAGGTTCAGGACAACCACAGAGGTCACACCTCACTGCTTTAGTGCCTTATCCCTACTGTGGGAAGAGTATTTTCTGTCCCTTTGCTTCCTTCTTTTCCTGAGCCAAGAGTTGCATATGTTGGCTGGCCCCTTGTGTCCCACATCGCTGCTGTTTCACACCACAACACTTGAATGCCCGTGATGTACGATAAATATTCCTCCCAGAGAGCTCGGGGTTAGTCACAAACTGCCAGTGACAGCAACAAAAATTAGAGCAGATCTGAACCAGAACACAAACCCATTCCTGCACATGTGCAGGCAGAGCATCAGCACAGACACAGCCGAAAGTGGGGGCACTTGGTACAGCCCAGCCATGACCTGCTCTGCAGCAAAGGCAAGCTCTTCACAAAAAAAACACTTTTAAACAGGAGCTGTCTCACGGTCTCAGTTAAAAAAAGACTGATTTTTTAGGTTGTTACAAAGATATCTTGAGTGCTGTGGTTTGGAGGAGGACTGAAGGCATGAAATAGAACTTGTTGGGGATTATTCTGTGCTAAGGGTTTTCAGTAGCTTGGGGTTACTTCTAGGCTTTTGTTGGGNTTTTTTTTTTTTTTTTTTTTTTTTTTTTTTCTTCAATTTAGAGTTTCCATGTACTTGGAAATTTCATCAGCTTTCTTTTTAATCAAAAAAGAAGTTTTATATATTTTTATTTTATGATTCAAACATTTTCATTTGTGTGTGTGTTTTGATAAGGTTTTGAAAAAAGTATTTTCTTAAAGTGGGGAGTCAGAAAATGTAGTGAAAAATTTTTGCTTTAAACCTTGTTTCAGTTTGGATGTCAGTATGTATGTGCGTTTGTATTTCTCTTCTGTTTAAGAGAGAAGGTGGAATTCTAATGGCAGAATTTGATAAGTTCAGTTCTAATAAAGGGTCTTCCTTCTGCTTTGCTAAACCAAACTTCCCATTGATCAGTTCTATTTCCCTTTTTTGTCTCTGATAAATACAGAAGTGACAGTAATTCCTGTGAGGAATTGTTGTAGTGCCTAGAAAGAAGTGTTTAGTTTTGCATTTACATGAGTAAATTCTGAAGAACTACCATTTACATGTAAAACACAACATAAATTAACCAGAAAAAGCAAAATTGTTATCTTCTTTTTTCCTGAAAAAAATAATATATGTCTTACTGTTGTCCAAGTGGTTGGCCTTGATAATTTTTTCTGAGTAGTCAGATATACTTGAGCATTCAATCTAGGAAAAAAAGAAAAAAAAAAAAAGAAAAGCAAGATAAAGAGCAATTTATCTGTTATAGGGATCAGCAATGTGAATGAAAACTATTCACTGAAGGCAGCAAAGACTCTACAAAGCATGTAACCATTGACAAAGAGTAAATCAAACCTGTGGGAAGGATCATAATTAATGATACTTTAATATTTAAATTGTAGTCTGTGTCTGAGTTAGAGTGGCTCCTGTGGAAAAGATTGCTTTCAAAATTATTGAAATGTGAAAAAAGAAGAGGTTCTACCTGCAAAATGTACATTATTAACTATATTTATTCCTGATACTTTAGAATATTTCCTCCTCCCCCACAAAAATCTGCTGAATTGAATGAATTAGGATGATGCTACATTTCCATATATATTTTAAAACAAAATACATTCAAACTTTGTGAATAATAGTAAAATTCAAATATGCTAATACTGGTCTATGCCAGAAGCAGTTGTTTTCTATGTGAAAAATCTGTATTCTTTAGAAAAGCTGCTATTCCAAAAGAATGCAGTAATTTAACATATAAGAAAGGACTGAAATTTTTCATTTAAAAGAACATCCAGATATACCTGGCTTTTTCTCTGACCAGTTCTGTGTTTTTTCTAGGAAAATAGTTACAGAATGCATCCTTTAGAATTGCCCTTATACTTGGTAAAATCTGTGTACTAACATAAAAGCAAGTTTGCAATGATGTTTAATATCTTTCAGAGAAAAACTACATTCCATGAATCTCTCTGGGTTTTGTGCCCCTTGAAAATCATGAGAGCCAAAGTTGCTTGTAGTCACTGAATCAGTTCTTAATTTACCTCTTCCAAATTTGGCATTAAATAGACGATACTACTTTGCATAATCCTTGTCTCCCTAATTCCCCTGTGGGAATGTCAAATAGAACTATATTATCTCTAATGAAGTGGTTTATATATCCAATGAATCCCATTTAATGTCTAAAAGCTAAATTGTGCTTGACCTCTGTGACAGCACTCACAGATGGCAGGACAGCAGATACAAGGACACACAAATCCTTTACTCTTTTTATATTGTGAATGAAACACGTAATAGCAGGCATAATATTAACCCCAGCCCCCATGGGAGCACATTGATTCTGCTTAGTTTGCCTGTGGATGTAAACCATTCCTAAAATATCTGGCTCAATGGCCTGAGCATAAATCAAAACTGGCTTGTGGAAAGGAACACCTGAGTGGCAGTCCAGGGAGTTCAAGGAAGAAATCCTTTGGGGTGAGGGCTGTGCTTTTGCTCCATCCAGGTTCTTTCCTCACTGTAAACCATATAGACTGTATGCCCTGTCTGTAGTTACTGCCATTATACTCATTTTCCCTGTCTGGTATTTTCAATTCCATTGCCCATTTTGGATGGTTTTTAAATAAAGCAGGCGTAGGTAGGTGTTTGGAGGTTGCTTTCCAAACGTTCTAAAGAACAAGGTACAAAGAAATAAGAAGTTCTTTCTCATGAATGACAACAAGTTTCCAGAAATCTGCTTCAGATGCAAAGAGGCAAAAGAATAAAATCCCCAACATTTAAATATTTCATTAAGGACTACATATTTCAGAAAAAAAAACTTGCTTTAGGGTGGCTAAAGCTGTGCATCTGCATTTTGACTTGGACTCTATACTGTGGTGTAATTTTATTTTAAAAAGCAACTCATTTCAGAAAAAAAGAAAACTGAATTCTGCAGGTGAAGAAATAGAAGGAAAATTGATGTTGTCAGATTTTTCTTCCTCAGTTTTCTTTCAAGCGAGTGATTTGCTCAAATCTGTCCTATTTTGCAAAGCATTTGGATTTTATGAAAAGCACATGTTCCAATAAAATAAGTCTGTACCTGAGTTTATAATCACAGAATTGTAGGATGGCTTGAGCTTGAAAAGGGCTTCAAAGGATTGCCCTGATTCAAGTGAAGGATCCTGTTCTTGGCCATGCTGAAAATCACAAGGTTGACACAGACCCACTCCTCAAGCCTGACAAGATTCCTTGTTGTGGCCTATTTTCCCTCAAGTATACCAGCTGCACAAAGCAGTTTTGTGTCATCTGCAAACTTGCTGAGGGTGGAGTCAATCCCACTATCCGTTCTCCTAAATGAAGATCTTAAATAGCAGTGGTCCCAGCATGGACCCTTGAATTGCTTCAGCTGTATCTGGTTCTGTGTGTGTATATTCACCTCTGCTTTCATTTTACTTTTCAGTCTTCAATCTACTGCTGCAAATGTCTCCTCATTTACTGTGGTCTCCTCCTGAAACAGTCACAAGGTCTCCAGATTTCCCCTGGGCTGTGTCCTCATCACCACCTTTTTATACAAAGCAGCTGACATCTGACATCAGCCTTCATTTTGTCTGTCTGTTTAACTCCTTCTTCCCTGCACTGTCTTGTTTGTCTGAAAATAACATGGAATTCAGATAGTTCTACTGCAGTGACTGTCTTGAATTTTGTATGACTAAATGTAGCAGATGAACCAAGTCTTCAAGGGATATTTTATGTATTTTTGTGCCCCTCACTGACCCCTCCCAAGCACCAAGAGCTATGTGTCAATTCTATCTCTACGTTTCTTACTGTTAGATGAACATCAGTGCATGGCACATTGGTACCCTCCCAATGGGTTAGGGCTCAGAGCAGGTGAAGAAAGAAGAGAAAAAGGAGAGGGATGGTTGTGTTCAGGTTGTAGGAGAGATCCCCCCACATTCTAATAGCAATCTAAAAGTATCCTAAAAGGGCTTGCAAGGAAAGTAAACTCTTTTCTGAAATGCACAGGGACAAGAAAGAAGTCAGTAATCACAACTTGTGGCAAGGGAAATTCCTGTTGATTGTAGGCCTGGAATAGGTGCTGAGAGAGTATTTAGAATCCCTATACTTGGAGATTTTCCAAATTGGACTGGACATATTCTTGGCCAACTTGATACAGCTTTAAGTTAATGATTCTATGATTTACATCTCTTGAAGACCCTGAGATAATTCTAGTTGTTGGCTTAGGTAGTGGCAAGGAATAAGTTCCAGCAGTAAGTAAGAAGGGAGAAGAAGAATCAGACAGAGTAGTGGATGAATTTGAACCCAAAGAGAGAAAGTGTGAGTAAGAGGAGAGTGAATTCTGTAGTCAAAAAACCAACACTCTGCATTTGTCAACAGTTCCCACATCATGCTATTTGAAAAATCACATTTAGCTGTAGAGAAGAAACTGGAACATTGCAGCTCTGTGAAATAACTCATGGCAAATGTTTGCTTTTTAAATGGAACACTTACAGTTTCCAATGGCAAATATGACCATAAATTCTCAAATTGACTATAAGATTGCCACTGCTAGGTTTGAAATGGCTGCTTGTCCAACACAAATCCACTCTGCAGCTTGCTGTGTACAGGGTTCACGGTGAGACAGCTCATCTGACAAGAAAGTTGAAATTATTTGGCTGTAGCATAAGAGTTTCACACCTAAGGGAGTTCCTCTGAGAGTTAAGTTCCATGGATAGCACACCCACCAGCTTCAGTGATGAACAGTCCATCAGCGAGCTGGCACTGGTGTGTCACTGAGCTTTATAAAGTCCTGAGGTAAAGTCTGAGCTCTAAAGAAGTCCAAAGGGGAAAAAAATAAAAACCAAAACCCAAACATAAAAACCCCTCATAACAACAAATGTGGGAAAGTATTTTTCTTTTACTTGGTGAATTTTCTGCCAGTGAGCTGGCTCACTGTAGAATCAGATAAGCACCAGTTCCATCACAAGGGAGGGAGGGAGACCATATGGCCAGGGATCTGAGAGATGGGAAGGTGGGATCACATCACCATCATTTTGTATATGCTTATACTTCTAGAGCACTGCAACATCTTTGCATGAGACCTGCATTTCTGCATCACAGAAAGCTGCTGGTTTATCCTCTCTGAGGCTTTGAGGTAATAAATCATATTAGTAAGTAATACTTGCTTTACAAGAAAATACATTCCAGCTGCCTATCTTGAGCTTAAACTCCAAAACTTTTTCCAGCACCTTTTGATTTCAGCTATCTAGAGTTCCACACTCTAGTCTGATATTCAAATGAGGTACTCAGAAGTTACACTGGATTTGAAAATATAAGCCTGAGAATGGAAATGGCATTTCATGTATCATTACCAGTGATAAAGACACACAGTTGGGGTACTTAGTGACATCAGTGTCTTCAAATGCACAGATGTACCCAATTAAGTTTTAGTAAACAATTTTGTTGAAGTACACTGAGAAATGGGATCTATTTCCCCTTTTCTATGTTGCATTGTGTCTTCAGGGCAAACAGAAGTCCAAAGCAAAAAGAAACTGCATTTGTCATTTTAGAGTCAGTACAAATAAGTTTGAATATACTTAGTAAGCAAATCTATGTTCTCCGTAATGACTTCTCTGCAGAGAACAGCATATTCATGCTCTTAAAGTTCAATGTATTTAAGGTAATAATTTCCTTCTGCCTCTGAAAAGTGTTATTGTTGGCACAGAAAACATGCACATGCTTTCTTGTACAATTTGCTGAGTTGTAATATGCAGGGAAAAGTGTATTAAGGAAATGTGTTTCCAAGACTACAAAGTTGCAGACCCTGAAAATTTAAAAAGCAAGATAGTTCCCTTAACCCCTCTGAGTAGGAGTGAGTCTCTTTAACATTTTTTTTCAGCCAAGAAGAAATGTGAATATGTACCAGAACACCAGAGGTTCCACATTTGAAAAGGTATTTACATCCCCATTTGGAAAAGGTGCAGTAGTGCAAGTCACAGAATACAACAGAACTGCACTGAAGTCACCATAAACCAAGACACAGATGAGCTTGGAGAGTAGAATTTCGAACCAAGACATGTAAGAAAAGGTAAATCACGAAGCCAAATTGTCAGGCAAAATGCACAAACAAATTCAAAATGTGAGATAAAGTCTTCTTACCCCATATACCTTCTTGGCTCCTGCCTTTGCAGCAAACATGGAGAGGATTCCCGTGCCACTTCCAACATCGAGGACAATCTTATCTTTAAAAACATGTTTATTGTGATACATTGAGTTTCTATAAGTTAATGTGCGCACTTCATCTTTTAACATTTCCTGTGATGAAAATAAAAGGATTGTGTCACTATTTGAAATGCTTATATGCATTCCACACTGCTGCTGAATGCATTCCCTTGCTGTCATTTAAGCATTATTAACACACAACATGAAGGGTTTCTCAACTACTTTGGGGTGCACACATCAAAGCAACTGTAAAACACCAACTACTTAGAGCTGAATTATTAAGAAGCAGCATGATGTCCCTTGTATAATTTTATTCTGCTATTACTTCACTGTTACGATCAACAAGCAGAATGTAATCTAACCACAGCACTGCTCTGGGAATAGACAGAAGCCATACAGAATCCAAACATTCCTTTACTCCTAGGTCATGCACAGCCCAGAGCCTCAGTGGAGGGACCTTCTGAGGTTCCTCTTTGAACAGACAAGAAATTCCAGAAGACATTATACAACAGCAGGCTTGGCAGCCTTGCCCATGTGAGGCAGAAGCCCATAGCAGAGCTTAGAAATCCTGTATTGTAAGGTCCTCCCTCACTGCTCTTTCCACTTATTTATCTGATCAATTTCCAGAAGATATTAATGTATCATCTAGACTACTATCCCACTAGTTTGAGTTGCCATTTTTAGGTGCTGATTTTTGATGCACTGATAGCAGCAGTGCATGCATATAATTTCATTGATACCTTGCTTTCTCTTGTACATCCATCAGTCAAATTATATCAATGAAAAGGACCCAGCTCAAGACCCAGGTGCCACTTTTAAGAGAAGTGTAGACCATTCAACACAGACTTTAGTTTTCTGAAAATGCTTCTGTTATGTCAGGAAGGCTGAAGGTTTGCTTATGCTATTGCCTAATTTCATAGTTTGAACAAGTAGACAAATGAGTTTTTCAGTTTCAGGATGAAAAGGACCTGTTCACTGCCCAGAAGTCTGAGGCAATCATGAACTGGATTGTTGCACATACCAGCTGCTTACTTGCCTGTCTTGGCAGGACACTGTGTGCTCAGTAACTGCAGATGAATAAAAGACAAATTTTATTATAAATCATGGTTTGGTACCAGGCAAAGAGCAGTCCATCACCACTGGAAAGGTGTACGTACACCCTCGTGGAAACTGCTTCCACACATATTAAGAACAAGAAGGTGACTGGGAGTGTTCAGCATGGATTTGGAGATGACTGAGCATTTCGTATCTTTCTATGGTGAAATAATGAGCTTTGTGGATGAGGGAAGGGGAATGAGGAAGAGGAATGTTTTTTATCTTGATTTTTTGACAAAATTTTCACCATTTTTCCCATAACATCCTCATTGAAAAATCGATGAACTATGGACTGCATAAATGTTCAGTGCAGTGGTCTGAGAACTGACTGAACTGCTGCTCCAAAAATGTTGTAATGAGCGGCACAAAGTCCATCTGGAGGCCAGTCACTAGTAGTATTTTCCCAGGTGTCAATACTGATGCCTTTTGGCCTATTTTTCAGGTGGATTCATGTCTTCCTAGCAGACCTCAATCCTCAAAGAGGGCCTCATAGTTATAAAAACCAAAAAACTTATCAATTGTGGACCTGTGGTAACACTTCTCAAGTCCTTGTTTGTGCTGTTGAAATTGAGGAAAAATCCACCTGGCACACCTTGCTGTTGATCATTGTTCTGAGAGCTGCCCAGTGACACTTTCTATGCTCCAGGTCCCACTGATGCTCATGTAGAACAGCAGAAGGCTCTAAGGGCTGCTCTAAGGGATGGACAAATGTCAACAGCCTCTCCACAGCATCCCAGAACCTAATGCCTTGGCAGAAGGTCTTGTCAGCAGATGGGAGGCTCTGTACCCTGCAGGTGAGAGCCTTTGCAGCTCTCACTTGTCACCTGCTCCCAGTGCTTCTGCCTGGCTCAGAGCCCACTGGTTCTGGAGGTTTTTTGGACAGAACTTCCTGTCCCTCAGCTACAATTAAGACACTGACCCTATTCCGTAGCCAGAGATCTGCAGGTGGATCAAGAGACTCCCTCCTGTTCCCAGCAAGCACAAATCTCCAGCCTTCACTATCAGCAGAGTCCCCACTTCCAAACCTGGTAAGTACAGACTCTTACTGTCTCTCCTTTCACTGTGGTTGGGGTTTTAGGCTCTTGTACCTTCATGCTCTCAGACAAGATCCAGTCAGTCTCTTCCTCATGCCCCTGATGCTTCAAAGTCTGCCAGCCTCCTCTATCAGTTCCTTTACTTGTTGACACTGATTTTTACAGTGCACACCTCCTGCAGGCAAGGAGGAAACTTCACATCTTCAGCAAGAAGCTCTTTGCAGTCCCTGAGACCTACAGGGCTGCATCCTTCCACTAGGAGCTCCATTTGATTTATGTTCTCTGATGTGTCTTCAAAATTTCTCCTAGGTCTCCTCCCCACTCAATTGTTTCTCTATCTTCTCCCATTCTTGGACTGAATTTCTGAATGCTACAATGGCAAGATGTTACTGGCAGATAGAAATCATTTATGTTTACACCCCACAAACAATTACTAGAGTAGTAGAAATTTATATTGTTTATTATACTGTTTGTGAGGAGTGCACTTAGTCATTTCACATTTGTTTTTTTGCATCCTGCTCTTAAAGATCTCATCCTCTTCCATCACAAAAATATCAGCAGGGCAAGGTATCAGTGACTCCTTTAGAACTTGTCTACAGTTAACATTTTGATAGTAAATGGTCCATCAAGTATTTCAAATTCTTTCCAGGAGTGTATTTAATGGAGGTGATTTGGCTTAATGCTCCCATCAATGCAGCCTGTGCATTTAGAAGTTACATGCAAGAGTTGAGAAACTCTTTGGCTTCTCATGTCAGCTGAGCAGCTGTTCTGCTGATGTCTGTGCTCAAACACGCAACAGAACAAAATCCCCAATTTGGCAGTAAGGGGCTGCCCATGGTTGTGTCTGGGCTTGGTTTGCAGCCCTCATAAATGCACTGCATTGGTGCACTTGTGAAATTCACCTCTGCACGGACAGCTACAATAAGAATCTAAGTGGGACTGAGGTTTTGAGTGCAAGTCTCTAGAGAAGTGGGTGATACCTTTGGCACTTAACCAGACTACACAGTGGTCTGAGGAAAGGCAGAGGAATATAATAATGAGCAAATGGGATACAGATAAGGAAGTAAAAAAAATAAGAGAAATAATGGGAATTATTATTATTATATTGTTAGTTATTTAACAATCACTGAAACAAAAATAAATGTTACCTCATGAATTCCAAAGTGAGCATAGGAGTCAAAGTAATAATCCCTGGATGTCATCTCTTCTGGATTGATGAGCTTTGCCATCTTGCCTCGGCCCGGGCAGCTTGGTTGCAATGGAACATGGATGACAGACTGAACTGGCTTTGGAGCAACAGTAGGCTGAGGAGGCTGGGATGGAATGGTGCAAACCTAGGAGAACATGGAATATTGTTAAGAGGCATCATTAAAAGAAAATATTTCTCCCTGTGTCTAGCATAGTGGTATTATTGTTAGAGCTATTGTTGTAACTATCCAGCAGATAACAAGTCCAAAGACACCTGGTGTATCATAAGTGAAATTTAGGCTGCCTTCTGTTCCTGGATCTTTAACTTATTTGACGTCTTGTAATATTTCCTTAATGGATTTTTTCCTTAATGTTTCTCTGCAGATACCTAAATTAGTGCAGAGTAATGGTAAATTATGGGTGTTGGCTGATAACCTATTGACACAAAGCAGTAAAGTGCTACTTTTTCTCCATTAATGTCCTATTCTGTCAAACTGCCACAGCTTTGTGAGAGTCAGGTTGCAATAAATAAATAGTTCCCCTGAACAGAAGAGCTCACAAAGAAAGGATTCCACACACAGTGTTGCCAACAAGGGCAGTATTCACAATCAATTCTTAATTATCAGGTAAGGTACCTGTCTATATTGATGAGCTAGGTCTGAGAAGGCTCACAATATCTGAAAGTCCCTGATGCTATCTGAAAGTCTCTCAGCATATCCAGGCAGCACTGTAGGGAGCTGTGTGGCATATTTGGTCCCTTCATGTCGTTGGGAGATGCAGGAGTTAGGTGTTTCCAGCACACCATGGCCCCCAGCACTTAATTTTTAATTGCGTCCTGCATCTCCAACACCAGCATTTTGATAAACACAGAATTCTCACACCCCCTTGGTTCAGATTTGATACCTGTAGCACATAAGACAGAATGTTTTTCAAATATAAGCTAAAACAGACCCTGGTCTGGCCCATGTGTGTATCTACATTTTGAATTCCTAATATGTAGCAAAATGCTGAAAACTGGGACTGAGTAATATGCTACAGCTTCACCTAAGCACCTGCAAATTATGGGTCAACAGCTTCATATATTAAGGTCAATCCTACTTTAAATATATCATATCCTTTTGTACTTTAAAAAAATCTTTTTAAGACTCAATAGTTTCCCAGTGGGGACCAGAGTTGCCTGAGCCTCTCCTCACTACTTTCATAAAGTTCATGCTGTCTTCTATAGCTTGGTACTGTGAGGTGTCAATCCCTTGTACTGTCTCTGAATAGCATCAATTAGCCTAGTTCAGTTTGCTTCAATTAAAAAAAAAAAAAAAAAGAAGAAGAAGAAAAAAGCCTCCACATTTTGTAGATTTCTATGTGTCATCTTTTGATGGCTTCTTTGGTCCATCTGTTAAAAAAGTAAATACCCTTGGTTTATGTTCCTGTAACATTTTTCATCTGCAAAGATACAGAAGTATTTTATTTATAAGTATTTTCTATTTCTTACACTTTTTACTTTGTCATCTCACTCTGTTCACCTCACATAGTTCACCTCCCATGCAGAATACTCTTGCTCCTAATTGGTGTTTGTATTTCTGTTTGGTCTAGTTTCAAAAATGTCCATCTGCAAGACATTGCTTCATTGCCTTTCCATTGCAAGCAGTAACACTGAAAACTTACTCTGTCAAAGTGGTTTTTTTTTAATATTAAACTCTTTTAAATATAAACCTACTTTTAACTACATACTTGAGGTTATATCTTAACTTTTTTCTCCATTGGCACGCACCCTATGAAATTTTTTCAGTTATCTTTTTCAGCAGTTCTTTCTGTATTTGTCTGTTGGATTACAAAGACTGAAACTGTAGGTGTTTGAAATTCTGTTTTATTATAATACGAAACCTGTAAGGTCCTACACTTTCCTCCTAAATCTTACCCTCTGCATCATTTTACAATCAAAATACATAAGTTTATATAAATTACAAAATAAAACAGTCACTGAATTCTGTTCCTGTCTTACGTAAGGATGTCTCCAGACACACGACAGTGCATCACAAGAAATTGCTCAAAAGATATGTAAGGGAGAGGTTATATCAGTTTTTGTAAATGAAATCAGGGGGCTTCTAGCATTTCTGCTGCTGTCAAACTACAAATTTAAATGTGGTTTACTGTACAACAGAGAGCATTTGCTACAGGAAAACAAGCTGGTCTTGAAGGCAAATCTCCCATCTGGATCTCAGGTAGTATCAATTCCGTTCCTGGCTGCATGGAAAGGTCCAGACAGGATTATGAGAACAAGGTTAGTCTTACTAAAGATACTGAATTAAATTAAACCTAACACTTAGGCTACGAAAGATCATTCAATTTCTTTCCTGTAAAAGAATTAACATCACTGTTTCCTGGTCTGCAACTGAATTCTGCTATGGCCAAGGGGTGGCAAGATGACTTTTATTAAGCTACTGAGACAGTATTGCACCTTTGACTTGCAGTACTTCTCAGATTTATCCAAACTACCTGAAGACTTATTGCTCTCTACTATGCATCTACATCTTTGCCAGGAAGAACATATCCCACCCAGCAGAAGAAGTAGAAGCCTATTAGCTCTGCTTCTCAGCTGCCTTAGTTTGCAGCCAAGCAGCCTGTGAAAAAACGTGTTGATGGTGATTGTTTAGCAACATTTGGCTCTGAATGCCAATAGGTCCATCCTGTACTGTGGTAGCACAGCCTCATGCAGCAGGGGCAGTAAAAAATTGTATAGGGGTGGTGATCTTCTCAGCCAGCAGCACTCTGTCACAGGGACCTTAAGCCAGCTGCCTCATTTCTGCTTTAGGCATTCTAACACAATGCAGACCTTCTGGATTCAAACAGTGTAAATTTTGCAGCACCTGTAATACCTCCTGCTGAAATTTCTGTGTGTAGCACTGTAATTCTGGAATTCCAAAATAGTATCACAATTATAAGAATTAATTTTGTGAGTGGGGCTCAGGAAATCCCTCTGTCTATAACTTGCCACATGAAAAATTTCACTTGAGAGCGACTTATGCCCTTATGCAACAAATATCTGGGGAAAACATAAACATAGTGGACAACTGCAGAATAAAGAATTGCAATGAAATCTATTATTTGTATCAGAAACAATAAAGTCTTTCAGTGTACGGCTCTGAGATTGTAAACTAGAAACAACTATGCTTTTAGGGATATGGTATAATTGCTTAGGGACAAAACATGCTTTAGAACAACAGCTATCAAGGAAAGACAATTTCCTATATTCTTCCCAGAAGTGAAAACAGCCCTTGATGTGATTTGCAAGCTTAGCATATATATATATAGCCTACATGAGGAACAACTCATCTTTTGAATAACACCTGAAAAGGCAAAGCATCTGGGCTGGGGCCAAAACTCACACCAGTGTAAAGAATCTAAAAAACTCTCTGCAGAACCCATGTATGGATTCTGGCCAGCTGCACACAATTCCAGAACACTGGCTTGCTGCTAATGCAGATGAAGTCTGAAAGAATGGAAGCAGCTGCTTCAGAATTCATTCTTCACGGTGCTAAACAAGCAGCCCTCCATTTTTCCATCTCCCATGTGGTACTGAAGGTGGAGATGGGGGTCTGAAGGATCTGAGAAACCATCTATCACCTCTTTGCGACTGAAATCCTACCTTTGTGTACCATTTCCACATTTAAATAAAATTAAATTAGAGAAACACTTTCTTACTTTTAAAAATCAAATAAAATTTATTTCCTCTTTCTTTGTGGACTGGGTTGGTGCACTGCAGGTGATCAAATGTACTAGCAGAGGACTGGTTTCCTTAAAAGTTTTGAATTCTCACAAAAGACAAGATTTGTAAACCTCATTGTTTCTCAAAATCCTACAACTCAGCATCCTGATGTAGGTTTTTAAAACATATACAGGTACTTCAGTGGCACCTCTGTGTGACTTGGGCATAGGGTTGCCCATGTGAATCAATGGGTACTCTTGAAGTTCTTTGAAAACTGGACCTAATCCAACATGGACTGACAAGGCTGTCTGGGTGTGCAAAATACACAAAATACTCCCAAAATACAAAAGAGAACTGGGTATTCAAAAATCATGAGCTATTTTTGAAAATTTGAGCCTTTTAGATATATCCATCTGTCTACAGAGAGACAAGATGGTGAAATATGCACAATTCATTTTCTAAGAGGTTTGTGACAAAAGCTGTGGTGTGTAGAGTAAAAATAAACTTGAATTTCAATTCTCCTTTCTTGATATTACTATGGAGACATCAGGCTGGAGGTTAAAATTCCAATCCCTGCAAAACTGTTGTTCAAGCTGCAGTGTTTTATTGACAAAATCTTAGAAATTTATGGCATTTTTATGAAATTGAAGTAGTTAATTGTACCTTCTGCTGGAAAGTGCAGAACTTTTCCTTAAGAAACTAATTAAAAATGGAATTACAGTTTTAAATTATTCAATTTCAGCATCATCTCCCTTTTAAACAAGAGATTTTATCATATATAAATGTCGATTTTGCTTATTTTTTGGAGTCAAATAGCTTTCTATGTCAGAACTACTAGAATAGAATGTGCCTAACACCATTTTAATTGGTCTGAATTTAATAATCAAGACTTCTGGAGTGCAAGAGGTTATCAACTGATATGCAATCACCATAGTGATTCCAACAATACAGCTTCTTCCTGTTGCAGATATAAAAGCACAGCCAAATATAAGAGGTATTTTCTATCCTCCTGCCAAAATTTAGGCTTCAACAAAAATTTCTTGGCAGTCATCATGCAAGTTAAAGCCTTCTTTGACTCATTTATTGTGTATTAAAGTCTTTGTCTAAGGCTTATCTTAAGTGATCTTTGAATAGGGCAAATAATTGAATCCATTATCAGAGAAGTTTTAACCTGATTTTGTGAGGAAATGAAGCTCTTACAGTATCTTGCCTATGCCTCCTATTAATAATATTTGAGCTTGTCCAAGCCAGTCTGATTGGACAGAAGTGTGGAAGTATCAAATACAATTGTATTTTGGTACATCTCTTGAAAACCAGAAATTAGGTAGAAGGATAAGTTATTTGATGATCCACTGAAATTGAAGCAACTAGATTTCAGTTGTCATGCTTTCTACCTGCTCTAGGTCTATTAAGCCACCTGGCTGTTGTGCAGTGTGTAACCTCTGGACTGGATGAGCAGTAATGAAGGTGTACAAAGACCAGGCATTGCTCCGAACTAAATTAGGAGCTGGGGGCATAAAGAGAACATACTTGCAGGAAAACAGGCTTTTTTAGCTCTTCTACACATGGGAAAACCTTTCCATGCTGAGGATGGGAAGTTCACAAGGAATGCAAAATGGCAGGAAAGTAGGGAGTTCCAAGATTCAACTGCAGAGAGCTGTAGCTGTTTGGAAAAAAGGATATCTATCTATATCATCTATCTATATCTATATCTATATCTATATCTATATCTATATCTATATCTATATCTATATCTATCTATATCTATATCTATATCTATATCTATATCTATATCTATATCTATATCTATATCTATATCTATATCTATATCTATATCTATATCTATATTTATATCTATATCTAGATATATAGATATATAGATATATAGATATATGACCTCTTAAGACCAGTAAATGACATTGATTTAGTGGAAGCTTTCCCTTGTCCAAAAATCAGTATGAAATTGCCAATTCTTCAGCAGCTATAAATCTACTTTCTGCTTGATGAAAGTCAGGCTCAGTCTGTTTTAAGTTGCGCTATGAATTCAATGCAAATGCAAATCTAAACTCTAAAACTGAATCGAGTCAGACAGACTCTGTAAGAAAACTGGGAGAGAAAAGTGATTCTTAAAATTGCTTGCTTTGAGGCTAACCCTTGTTCAGCCACTTCAAAGTGAGGCACTGCTCTGAACTTTCTACATGGATTTTTTTGGAATGCCAGATCAACCTGTCACAGACAAACCTGTCCATTTATTAGCAACAGGAATTCACTTTCCTTTATACAGACAAGCATAGCTTAGAGTGTACTACAGCTGATATAAAACCCCTAAGTAATGGTGATAGGAAAAATATTGTGAAAACACTTTTAGAATAAAGCCTCTGTCCAGAACAACTGAGACTGATCAGCTATGCAAGGAACTAGATTATACCTTAGATGTCCAAATCCTCATAAAGTCAAAAGAAAGGATACAAGCTGGTCATCAGTATGATAAAAGTGTGGTCAGCATACTTAGGCTGCAGCAGAAATAACACCAAGTAACAAAAAAGGAATGTAAAGACCACAATGTTTGCAAAGTTGTTACTTATTGTGCAGAAGCTAAAAATAAATTTAGATATGTAAATGCAACATAGGTGCTGTGATACCTTTATGGATCTGATCCAGGGTACTTCATACTGTCAGTTTTTGATGGGGACTGTCTCTTGGGTAAAGCCAGAATTTTCTTAGTGACAGGTCACAAAATAAGCAATCCAATTTCCACTTTCCAATATTCCTGGGTATGCAGGAGTAAAGGAGTTTAAGCACTGAAATGAATGGTCTGTGGGGTCTCCAACTGTGTAGATTGTAGAAGTTGGATGGAGACTATCCCATACCAGCTTTTAAAGCTATATTTTATCTGAGCAGGGTGCTGAACTAGATGGCCTTCAGAGGTCCTTTCCCCACATATTATTCTATGATATTAAGACATAGTTATAGTTGCACTGTGCATGAGATACAGGTGGCAAAGTTTATAAACCTGAGCCTAGTGCAAATTATGAGGTAGGTTATAAATTTTGGGATAGTTTTGTACACACAATAAGAACAGAACGTGCTTTCATGAGATTAAAGAATGCCCACTATGAGAAGATGAGGATGTCACTCAGGAATGAAAACCTTCTAAAGCTACCTTCTAAACCTTCTAAACTTTCTAGCTATGTTACAGAACAGAATTGAGATTACAGGAAATGAGTTGACAAAATTTAAGGACTGGAATGATATTAAGTATTTGTATTATTTATAAATGTATGAGCAGTTCTAGACCATTCTGTGTGCATGTAATTAAAATGCTATTCATCCAATCTGCTCTCATGACTGCTTAGTGCCATTGGGGATAAAAACCAGCAACAAGTTACAGATGTTGACATTTAATTGAACATTTGTTACTTTTCATAAAGGTGGAGATTTGGCAATGTATGTAGAGTAGAATGTCCCATGCAGGGCATGAAAATTTTAGTTCAGCACAGAACAAAAGGAAAATATGAGAGAAACGTGTTTGTGTTAACTGAAATTTATTCTTTGCGAAGCACCTTACGGAAGGATACCAAAGCATTACTTTAAAAGTGCTGAGAGGCACCTTTCTTTAGAAGAAGGTTTCATTTTGATTATATTTGGCATTTAGTAGCTTTAATGCCTATTATTATTTTAGATTTAATATCACAGCAATACCTTCTTGGTTTACAAGATCCCTGCTAGAAGGAACAGCTGGAGAAATGCCTTGTGTTTTCACCTGTACTCTGTGGTGCTGAGCAGATGGTCTGTCAGTAGACTCTGTTGTCCATCTGTTTGTTTGGAGCCCCTTGAGCCTCATTAGGAGTGAGGTAAGTTGCACAGTGAGGAGGTTCTCAAGTTCTGGCTGAAGCCTCAAACCCTCTTCTCTCACAGCCAGGGATTCACAGCTTCAGCTCAGTGGGGGATTGTGTTTTAGAAGCCTTGTCCTCTGGTGGATAATACCAAAAGCAAACTACAGTTGGCAGATGGCTAAATTCATTCTTCTTTTCATAGGGTAGAGACTAATCTAACTGCTATCAATAATCTAGAAATGGATCTCCATGTATAACCCTGCTGTTGCCTCCACATTCACAGCATATGGATTTGTTGTACTTTAATGGTCTCTTCCACCTAATTCAAGAATCTGAAAGGTGAAGATTTAAATAAAGGAGAACTACAGATAAATAAAGAAAGCTGTGATGATCTGTGGCTAGATATCCTGTGGTTTTCTTTCCATTTTTCACCGTAATCAGGAATAGAAGAGGTGGATATATTCAAACATACTGGTTATTTTGACACAAGATTGATACCTATAAGTAAATCTGGCAGGTTGAGAATCCAGGCTAGACCACCGCGGCTAGGTGTTCCTGAGAGATGTTCCAGACTTCTCAGCTTTTTCCTAACTCAGTACCATATATCAAGGCTCCTAGGAAAATCATGCTTTTAACAGAGCTCTTCTGATATAGTGCCTTGTAAGATGTATGAGCTTTTTGGTTGGTTTATGCTACAGCAGCCTTTCTCCTGTTCCAGAATCCAGCCTAAAAAGTTTACTCTGGACCACACAGCAGCACACCAACAGCTTCACAAAGTGAATATCTCTTGCAGGCTGAAGTTTCTGGACTTGCACAGATTTACAGCTATGTCTGACATGGTAACACTGCAAGTCCCTGCTTTCTGTGGAGCATCCTGACCCTTTTCAAGGATTCATGAAAGGCAAATAAAACCAAATGATAAAAAAAACCCTTCCTACCTTCTCGTAATTTTAAGTCTCTTCTCTTGTGACTAAAGATGAGAATTTAATTTAATTTAATTTAATTTAATTTTTTATTCAGTTGGTAGAAGCTAACTTGGTAGTGAAAAACAGGAAGGTGCCCTAATGTGTGGTCCCAAGCCTATCAATGTTGACTGTGAAATTCCGATATCCTCACAGGAATTTAAAATTTAGAACTGAGGTCAACTGTGAGAGTTACAATTTTTATTGACAACCATATGTTACATCATTGGTTTCACTTCTATCAAAATTTGAAGAGCACCTAACACCTAAAATAGCCAGTAAAGGCCAGGGAGCACTTAAATTGACTGATCACCATGGAACACTTTTCCTCTTTGATTCAATTATCCAGAAAAAAAACAAGCAGTAGGTATAAACTATGTTGTATGTTCTCCTGGAACAGATTTACCTTCTGAGATGTCTGGATTTTGGGAGTTTTGACAGATCTCTTGCCTTTAAAGTGCTACATCCAAAATTGTCTGGAACAAAAGAAATCAAGATGCACAGATATAAGAAGGGGAAACAGCCTGTTGTTCTGACAGAACTATTAGAGGCTTATTTTTTGTGGTTGTTCAGAGGGAAGGTTTGAGGTAAGACTACTGCCAGTCTATTGTTGAAACTGGAAAGAGGAAAAGCTGATAACAGTATTTTCCATTTGAAGTAGGCTACAGCCTCTGGGAAATAAAGAGCTTTTCCAAGTTTAATGTCATTTTATTTCTGATTTGCCTTTCAGGGAATTACACAAGGGAAAGAAATATCTCTGCATTAATAAAATGCATCAGGTCTTCCAGATGATTTTAAAATATTGGTCCCAAAAGGGAAAAATCTAAAAATAAACCATATCACTTTCATTCCTGGGCATTCATTGCAGAGTCACCTCTATATTTGGTAGTGATAATTGTTAATGTTATATGCTTACTAATTGCACTGATACTGATATTTAATGTCCCACCTGGCCTGACTGGGCAAGCACTTCTGTGCCAACAAGTAGGACACAGCTGTGGGGTGCTGTTCAGGGACTGAACTCCCCAGTGCCATTTCCAAGACCCTTTCAGGTTTAGCATGGCAGAAAGAGAAGGTTGCAGAAGTGTCATATTGCTCGCACAGCACTGGCTTAAAACAGCAGTTGTGAAGCCCTTCCCTTCCCTGTGTATTCTGCAATACAAGTAGTCAAACTGCAGCAGCCTTGTCTCATTTTTTCAGACAGGATGGAAACACACCCAGTTTTATGTGTGCCTGAGAGAAGTCACCAAGACCTGTGAATCCAGCACCATTTCTAGGGTGGCTGGGTACTGTGAAGGAGTAGCTGGAACAAGGGTAAGTGGTTCTTCTTGTGTGCACATGAGTGAAGTTCAGGGTTGCTGGTGAGTCATGTTCCCTGCTGCTTGGGTAGATTTGGCACTATGCAATCATACAGAATGAAGAAATCATTCCATGCTATGTTTCCCTGGGAGTAGCTCAAAGCCTATATCATTATTTAGCAAGTCACGACTCAGCTCCTTTTCCTCCTGTAATGTGGGCCTCAGTCTTCCAGGGCTGACTTTGCACCAACTTGGACTAGTTGGAGGATCTAGGTTTCTCATTTCTCTGTCCTTCCTTCTGCATGCAACAGACAGGACTCATCAGCATTGCCTGAATACTTCCTTTTTACAGTACAACTCATGGTGTAAATTGTTTAAAATTGTATTTCTTGTATTTCTCTGTGGAGTCCAACATTCAGTGTGCAAGGCTCTATAGGAGAAGTCTCCATAATGTGTGCTGGGTCACCCAGGTAAGCTGATATAACTGCATATGAATTCTGAATTACAGACAATTTATCATCATGGCTGTGAAACCATGAATGGTGCATAAGGATCTACAGTCAGAACATTAGGGGCCTGTTAACAGATGGAAATTAGTTCTATTTTAAGGATGGCTAGGCAAGTCAGCTCTTTCTGTGACAGGACAAAAAAAAAGGACAAGGTCATCTTCTGAGGCATGAAACCCTAGCAGTTGTTTTCACTTTGTGATCAGCTATAACGTGGGGAAGACATGCTCCTGTTATCTGGAGGCAGTACACAGAAATGTAAATGTGACTGAAGGTTTTTATTGATTTTCAAGTGAAGAGAGATATTCATGTGCCAGATTACTTTAGAACGCCTCGCATCACAAGGCGCAGCTTGTTGTAGAAATAGCAACAGAAGTTATAGAAGCCTGCACTGAAAATATCAAAGTTGAATGCAGTGAAGAGGAAGAGTTTGTTGCAGATGATTGCATAAAGAGTTATGAAGATAGAAAGCCAGAGAAGTGTGAACTTTCCATTGTGATTTTCTTATTGGTTTTTACTATCATTGCTGATGCATAAGTGCCTGCCTTGCTGAACAAGCAAGGCAATGGAAATGAATGGAAAGGAAACAAAAAGGACTTGGTACTTTCAAGCTACTTCACATCACTCTGGCAAGTGCATGAAAATCTGCTGAGGAGAAGTCAAGGGGAGTTAGAGCCTCCATTATCAATGCTCACAGTACCTTTCTTGTAGGGAAAGCAGCTGTATCAGTGACTGGCCTCTTCCTCTCCCCAGCATAATTTCAACTGACTCTCTAGTGACAAAGAACAAGAACCAGAAAGTGCTAATCAACTATAAAACCAGTTATTTTTAGGCCTTTTCTCAGTATCAGGCAGTAAGCTGAACTTCACATGAAAAAGTAGAGCTCCACTATTTTTAGAGGCTAATTATTAACAAAAATAACCAGAGTATTCTAACTGTACAAATTATTTTCTTAAATTAGCAGAAAATTTAATGGAAGTCCTCCTCTGCTTAGCAAATTTCTAAGGCACTGATCTCTGAAAGTCGCTTTGCAGCTGATATACCAGTCTTTTCTTCCCCTCACACTGAGTTTCAGCTGTATAGGGCATTCTAGCGGGAAGGACTGCTACATAGGAAGCTCTATAGGAAGTTCTTTAGGAAGACATTATATTCTGTAGGCTTTCTGAGCCTTAGTATGGAGGAGGAAAAATATCCAATTGACCTACTCCATGTCCTAGCCAAGCTTCTGATCTACACTCAGCATAATTTCAGATGTACTTCAGCTCTAGAGGAGGTCTCTGCCTAAGAAATGTCCAGGTTTATTATTTCTTATAGCTCTGCAGGATAAGTGAGGACAGAAGGAAGAACAAGACTGAGAAATGGCAGTTCCTGAGCTGAAGTGCCAGAGAAAATCAGCACAGTGACTTACAGTTCAGTGCTGCTGCAGAGCTACCAGCAAACAAGCACCAACATTGAATAGAAGTCCCACATTTGTCACTTCCATTTGTCAACTGGCAAAAAATAACATTTCCCTGCACAGAGCAATGACACCCTGCCACTTCCTTTGGAGCTGCAGCTCACTGGATCTTAATATGTTATAGCACAGACTTTCTCTTCATCACCTGGCAGTGTTTTTGTCCTCTGTGTTGGTCTTAAGTCCATCTCACTGTGTGACCTTGAAGGAATCAGCCATTTCTTAGTGTGGGTTATCAGAATTTTGCATCTTTTTGTGACAGATGAAAACCCTAGAGGTGGAATGTGGCTCTCTGAATCAACACTTACGATGGCTCACTGAAGATAGGCAAGGATGAAGTGCCTGTGAAACTCAGGTAATAATGCAGCTGCCCACAGCTGTTGCAAAGAAGCTGATTTTAGGTGAATCGATTGATAGTTTAAATGTTTCTCCCTGAATTCATTAAAAGAACATGATCACCTCCCTGAGTAAGCCAGACTCGTAAAGGGGACTGTGCTGACATGACCCAACAGAAAGTGGAAAAGTTGAAAAACTAACAGAATCATTTCAGTGAGAGCAATGGGGTTGAGCTGCCTTCAACTCACATTTTCCTCCCCAGTAATTGGGGATACCCAGTGTCATGACCATGGACAAATTACAAAAACACACGTGTATTATGATTTAACTACAATTGCAGTTCTTATATTTTCCTAAGTTAAACTTTGGTTCATATTCAATTTTCAGTGTATTTTGTACCCCCCTGCTAAATCAGAAAGCCCATATAATGTCATCTGTTTTCAAAAGAGACAATAAGACATTTGATATTTCACGTTGCATCTTTCATGCAGGAATTTCTAGAAGAAACTGATCAAAAGCATATTGTACTCTGATGCCTCTTAGCAATTACTATTTTTGTTTGTAGTCATTAGAATACAACTCTTGTGATGACATTCAAAAGTTTATTTTTTTATGATCAGATGTAAAGGGTCCAACTGTAGTTAAATCACTGGGTAGAAAACTGGCAGAAAGCCATTTTAGCTTGTGCTCAGGATCCCCAGCTGCTAAAACCAAGTCAGTAGCTTTTTGGCCTCACAAACATGGTTCAGCCTATGAAAGAAGGAAAATTCTGACTCAGTTCTCTCTTGGGTACTTGCAGTTGGATAAGACAGTTCCCATTGAGATTTACCATGAGGAGTGCACCTTCTCTTTTCCCTCCAGGAGTGAGCATGTATGAATTTTATACTGACAGGTTAGTTAAAATATAACAAAAAACCTACCCTGAGCCACTCCATTTCTATTCACCAAAGGGCTGTCTCCACCCTTGCTTTTGCTGCTGTAATTTGCCTTCGTTTTCTTGTTGCTGCCATTTTCATAAGGGATTGGCAGCACTTTCCCTTTGTGCCTCAGCACTTCTCCTGATGCTGATTCATAAGGCAGCATATGTTATTTTGAGATGAGAGTGGGTACGCGCTTGGCTAAGACAGAATGGAAATCCTTGCCTGACTTATGGACACAAAGCACAATGCTTTGTCCACAAAACACAACCTGTGAATGTCCTGACAGTTTTTAGTGCCTCTTTTGCAACAAGAAAATGCTGCTTGCACTGCATGGGGTCAGCTGGAGTTGGGTCCTTCCTGCACATCTCAGACGTGCAAGGACAGTCTGCATCCTGCTCCTCCACTTCTGTAGTGGCCACACGCCCTTCCACGCTTCTCTGTTGACATCCTGCCTGGGCTCTGATTGTTTCTTGTTGTGTGAAAAGATCTGGCTCTGCCAAGAGCATCCACAGGAGCAGCAGGGTAACGAGACGTCCTTGTGCATGCATGAGTGGTTCATCCTTCCCATTACTTAGGCAGTAATAGAGAAGCAATAGAAAAGATTGGTGTAGAATCACTACAGACAGGAGAAGTGGCTCCACTTAGGAAAGCTGTAGAGCAAAAAGGAAATTACCAGCAACAACAAGAGCAGAAAATGTAACTGACAGTAGCAAGATCTGGATAACTGGGCTTCTGTTCAAATTAGTCTTCTGTTGATGCTGTGTAAATATCTTGATGAGTGTGAAGACTGATGTTTTCTGATTAAAGTGCTTCTGACCCGTGAATTTCACTGATTCATGTGACTTTTCTTAACCTGAAAAGCTCAGAGAGTGGATCTCAGCCTTAGAAAGGCTTTTACTATTCACAGTTGTGAAGAAACCTTGAAAAGACTGACTAAAAGTTTCTGGGTACAGAAATGCCTATAAAAGTAACACATTGACGCAGATTCAGTGTCTTTTTTTAGCCAGTCTTATCACCTTTCCACATATAAAGTTGGCATTATTGTTCTTTAGCCACAGCATGGGCACAGCATGATGTACAGCAATGCAAAATTCTTTGTTGCACCAACCCTATCTGTGTTCCAATGGCAAAAC